GGCCGTTAGCCGTCCAGCTCTGCCGACGGTTGTTGCCGCCGTCCCTTCGCCGGAGGTGCGCGTGCCCCAGCCCCGGTTTGCGCGCTCCCCTCCTTGGCCGGCGCAGTCACCGCGCGGGGCGGCCGCCCGTGAGGTAGCTCTCACGGCTTGTTACAACGAATAAAACTCCGGGACAGCGGCGCCCTCAGCCACAGGCAGCCCCGGCCAGGAGCGGCGGCCCGTGCGCTACCGTGCGGAGCGAGCGGCGGAGGCATCTCCGACCTGGTTCCGCCGACGCGACATGAGCCTGGCCTGGCCTGAGCGGCATGCGCCTTGAGCCCGTTCTCCGGCTGTTACCTCAGGGAACGGTTGTGGCCACAGCAACCCGTATTTTCCAAGTATATCATTATTTATTCTCGGCGGCGGGACAGAACACCTTCCTTCATTTTTAATGTTCTCAGCGAGCATCTGCACGGCATTCATTGAGTGAAACAACTTGGTAAGCGTTCGGAGGCAGCTGGCAGCAGCTTGGGAAAGCTCGGACTTGAGCGGCCTGCGGGACTCTCCCTCCGCAGATGTGTTTGGAGATGGTTGCATCCTGTAACTACGCGTGTGCGTGGCGCTCAAGGAACGTCGTGATCCTGCGATGAAGAGTTAAAGCTTGGGGTTTCTTTGATTGCCCGAGTCCCTGCAACTGTCAGCAGTAACTGCGGCGGGTCCCGCGCGCCCTTCTCTCTCCTCTTCCAGCCTGTCCGCGCTTTTGCTAAGATGGCAACACGTGACAGTTCTGCAACCACGACCCAGGTTGGAAGAGGAGATGGAGCGAGCATCGTCCAAGAAAGGGAAGGCTGGCTGACCTCGGCTTTCCGAGCAGCTAACGGCCATAGTAGTCACGGAAGTTCTAAAAGACTCTTGATCCCCCGCTTTGGGCCACGCCTATGATGGGTACAGCAGTTCACTCCTCTGAAGTGACTTCATTCACCCAGTCCTCAAAAAATGTTGTCTTCCCTCCCCAGATACAGTCCTTTCATAGAAGAGGACTCGATTCCTTTTGCCCTCTTACCACTTTCAAGAATTTGTGACCATGAACACTGTAACAATAATCTGCTAATATTAGTGGCTGGAGGACTGATCAGGTGTCTTGTCCACTTTGGGGTATTTTACTCAGATGTAGGCAAAAGTTGGCGGGACAGGCCTCAGTGACCATTTAAGCCTGGTAAAAAGGACTGATTAAAAGCTTAAGGGGTCATGGCTGGCCGAATAGCTCAGCGGATTAAAGCATCTGTTGAGGCAGAGGCAGCAGCCAGAGTTCAGTCCCTGGCCTGATGTGCCAGCCCGTCCCTGGGCCGCGCCCAGACTGCAGTTGAGACTGGGCATGGTGGCGTGCGCCTGTAATCCCAGCTCTTGGGAGGCAGAACACAGGCGGATCACTATGAGTCCCATCTACGTAGTGAGACCCTGTAGTCCCTGTCCTGAAAAAAAAAGGGGGACAGTTTGTCAGTGTTCTTATCTGTCACTAGAGGAAATTGCTTTTTTTTTTTTTTTAATTTTATTTATTTGTGTGTGTGGCCAGCTCAGCCCACCAGGGGGCGGGGCTGGCTGGCATGTGGTGCTGGGGGATTGAACCGCGGTCCCTGTGCTTTACTAAGCTTGTTCTAAGTAGGTGCTTTAGACCACTGAGCCATCTCACCAGCCCCGGAAATTGGTTTTTGGCCCCCAAAATCTCACAGGCTCCTTTTCCTAGGAAAGAACTGCCTTCCCTGACTTAATAAGACACTTACATTTGGGTGCAAAAGATGGCTTTTTCCAGAGGGCTGTCTCATGCATCTAGTAGAAAAAAACAATATAACTAGCTCAGGTGATGGTTGGGCATTGCTTCCCTGATGCGTGAGAGCAGATGAAGTGTGTAGGATTTAATGTTGGCATCTGCACAAGGCTACTCGGATTCAAATATCACCTGTATCTCTAACTCTAGCCTTGGCTTAGGCAACATATTTATTTCTTTAAGTATCCTCAACTAGAAATAACCATAGCTAGTGTGGCCGTTTTGTGTGTAAACACATATATAGTGCCTAGAGCAGTTCTTGGTAATCAAAGACTTGGTAATCAATTACTGACATTGATACTGAGTGTTCCCTTTTATTCCATCACAGGGACTGGAAGGTGAAGTGCACCACTGCCTTGACTCTATGGAACTTGATAATCAAATGCAGAATTCAATTGCTGACCAAGCCCTGTTTATATTTATAGCTAAAAGAACCTGTACCACCATCTTTATATAGAAGAATTAAATACAGGGAAGAGAGACAGCTGCGAATGAAGACTATAAAAGAAAAGAAGAAAGAATGCCAAAGATTGAGGTAGAGTAGGTGACAGAAGAGAGTTGAGAGAAATTGATCAGTAGCTAGTGATATAGGCTGCACTTTTTTGCTCCTTTTGGCCTGGTTTTAGGGGGTAGACTTGAACAGTGTGAAAGCAAACACTGGTGGTTGCTGAAAGGTCCCTTTCCTGTCTTGCTAGTGCTGTGTCCAGTAGCAAGGTTGTGGAGCTGGAACTTTACTATGTAAATATCTTGGTTCTGCCACTTGCTAAGTGGCGTGGGATAAATCACTTTTGCCTCAGTTCCTCTACTGGAAATTATGCATGATAATAGTGTCCATCTTCTAAGCATGTTCTACAGATTGATTGAACTAATAAGGCAAAGTGCTGAGGAGAGTGCTAGCAGTGAGAAATGCTGACTTGCTCTATAACGTGGTCCCTGTCCTCAGATAATTTAATGGATATGTTTTGTGCTTTCAAAAAAAATATATATATACATAAAGCCAGTAGCGGCGACTCACACCTCCAGGCATTGGAGAGACTGCGCATGGCAAGTTAGAGGCCAGCCTGGGCGACTTAGAGAGGCTAAGGTGGGCTCTTAAGGGTTGGGTTGTAGCTCAGTGGGAGAATGTCTGTGGGTTCAATCCCCAAAACTGAAAAATAATGAAATTAACAAAAAGAGACTGATGTTTTAGCTTTTAAATATTTTGGTCATTATTAGACATATAAATAAGATTTTAAATAAAATGTCTCAAGGGTTGTCAGTAGGGTACTCAGAGACCGCCTTACACTTCTTTTTCTTCTATAGAAAATCTGCCAAGACTAGAAGTGTAATCCAGAGGAAGCTGTCTTCAGGGCCTGGTAAGAAAGATGAGATGTTTTGTCTCTAGGCCTCTACAAGGAAGGCCATCTGTGTGAGGCAGTGAATTTGCTTCTCACTGTGAGCCCTCCATCCTTCCTAGATTCTCTAAGATCCTGTGGAACTCAGGGTCTGTAATTTTAACATTTCATGACCAAAGTTCAAGAGACAAAACTCCTTCAGTGTGACCAAAATTATATCAAATCCTAACTGATGTCAAGTAAGACCTTATCCTAACCTTCCTCACCAATGTGATCTTTTTGCCAGTATAGATGTTCCTACCTTACAGATTTTCTTGGGTTTTGTGTTTTGGTGCCGGAAATCAAATTCAGGCAGTACCTGCCTTGCACTTGCCAGGCAGCCCTTACAAATGTTGACTTAGAATTCTTTGACTTTAGAACGGTGCAGAAGTGCTGTGCATTCACAGTCGAAACTGCGCTTTGAATTTTTTTTTTTTTTTTTTTTTTTTTTTTTTTTGCGGAACAAGGGATTGAACTCAGGCCCTTGCACTTGCCAGGGAAGCGCTTATTCTACTGAGCAATCTCCCCAGCCCCATATGCTTTGAATTTTGGTCTTTTCCCAAGCTAGTGAGATATGGTATGAGACCACCTCACAAGGCCAAGAGTGAGCCACAGCTCCCAGTCAGCCACATAATCATGAAGGAAAGCAACTTAATTGTGTACAATGTTGCTGTGTGGTAAGTGATAATGTTTGGTAGGTAAAATGCTTCCCTTTTCTTTTTCTGTTTATTTTTTTCTTCTTTTTTTCTACTTTTTAAAAAATGCATTTAGTACAGGGTCTATAGGGTCTCACTACATAGATTGAACTTGTAGTGATCCTGTTTTTCAGCCTCCCAAGCTCTGGGGTTAGAGGCGTGTGTCACCATGCCCAGTCTCAATCACTGTCTCAGTGTGCCTCGGGCTAGGTTCAGCATGGCAGGCCTGGGATCCAGCTCCCAGCCCCTGGCCCTCACGTCTGCCTAAGCAGGCGCTTTTTTCTACTTTTTTAACAGGGTCTCACTACATAATACAGACTGGCGTGGAGCTCACTGTGTAGCCCAGGCCAGCTTTGAGCTATTAGTGAACCTCCTTCCTGAGCCTCCCAAGTGCCAGGACTACAGGCATGTTGTCACCATGCCCAGTTTAAATAACATTTTTGACTGATACTTTCACTTTTTTTTTTTCTTTGTGGGTACTAGGAATCGAACTCAGGACCTTGCCTTTGCCAGGCAGGTGTTACACTGCTGAATTATCCTTGGCCCCAGGGACCAATATTTTCAACTTGTCAAGAGTCATTACCCCTTCATAAGCTGAATTGCGTCTATACTCCTTGTACTAAGATGGTTAGTTCATACTCCTCTTCCATTCTTAATGGTCAATTTGAGCTAATCATATAATTAATTGATGCTTAATATTTACTCTTCCAGTTTGTCGACTATGCCTCCAAGAACCTGGGGATCCTGAAAAATTAGGAGAATTTCTTCAGAAAGACAATCTTAGTGTACATTATTTTTGTCTTGTGAGTATGAGGTCTCTTTGGCTTTGTCTTAAGGTTCTTACTATTTAGACTACTTTTGCATCTAGTCCCAGATTTCTAGCCCTATTTGTTTCTCATAATAGCTTTTTTTTGTTGTTTTTGTTTTTGTTTTTTGTCTTTTTGAGATGGGGTTCCACTATGCAGTTCAGGCTATGCTTGAACTCACTTTGTAGCCCAGGTTATTGTTGAACTCATGGTGATCCTCCTGCCTCAGCCTCAGTGCTGGGGTTTCAGGCATGTGCTACCACACCTGGCTTATAATAGCATTTTTTTTTATGTATTTAGGACAGGGTCTTCAGGGTCTATAGGGTCTCACTACGTAGATCAGACTCATAGTGATTCTCTGGTTTTCAGCCTCCCAAGTGCTAGGATTTGCACACCACCACACCCAGTCTCAATCGCCATCTCAGCCGGGGCAGGATGGAACCCTGGCCACTGCACTCTGCCTAAGCCGGGGCTTTAGTCCACTGAGCCAGCCCCCTATAATAGCATATTTAAGGTCTACTTTTTAAAATATATACCTGGGTAAAATCCCAACAGTGTAAAATATGTACGATAAAAAGCCTCTTCCTAAAGCAATATTCTCAATCTTTCTCCAGAGACGAATACTGCCAAAACTTGGGATGTCCTACCAGTTATTTTTTCGCAATGTGTATTAGATATAATTTGTATACTATAAAATATAAAATTACTTAATGTACCATTTGTTGAGTCATGATTAATGTATATAGGTACAGTAGTCCCTCACTATTTCATGGTTCGACTTTAGCAGAGTCACTGTTTCACAGATTTTCAGAAAATATTAATCTAAATTATTTAGTACAGGTTTTTTGCTTTATCACAGGATTTTGTAATACCATACAGTATACATGTGTTGTTAAAATTACGTATGTTTATGAGTTTTAGAATATGTCTCAGAACATTAGAAGTGTTTTTAAAAGTGGGAGAAAGGTTTGTAAGAGTATGAGAAGGATCTATAAAGCCTTAGAATATATATAAATACTAAAATATACTGTTACTACTTCACTGATTTTCACTTATTGCGGGGGTGTCTGGAACATAGCCTCCGTGATAAGTGGGGGACTGCCATACCACCGAGGTGCCACCTCCTGATCAAGGAAGACTTCCAACATGCCAGAAAGTTGACCTGCCTCTCTCTAGTCAGGAAAATCTAGATAATCACTATTTTGACTTGTAGATTAATTTTACCTATTGTTTTACTTCCTAAAATTTAATCTGCTTTTTTATATTTGGCCTTTTCTTCACAAAACAGTGTTTTGGAGATGAGAAGTGTTGCTTATCTCTTCATCTGTGGGTGGGCATACAAGTTGTTTCCGTTTGGGGAGTATTGTGAATAAAATGGCTGTGAACATTCATGTATGAGTCTTTTTGTGAGCTTGTGTTTTCACTTCTCTTGGACTGATGCATAGGGGTGGAATTTCTAGCTGTGTTCTAAATATATGTTTAAGTGTGTGAAGTTGCCAAGTCATTTTCCAAGTGCTTGTAAATGGTTGTACCAGTTTACATTTTGCAAGTGACTTATGAAAGTTCTAGACACACAGTTTTCTTGCCAAAGCTAGGTTTTGTCTTTCCAGTTTTAGTCCTTCTGGTGGTTGGATGCATATTGGTGCCTGTTTTCATTCATGCTGCTCTGATGACCAGCGATGTTGAGCTGCTTTTCATGTGCTTCTTGCCGTTCACATACTTTCTTTCGTGGAGAATCCATACACATATTTATTTATTTATTTATTTATTTTTGTATTTTTAGGGAAGGGTGTACAGGGTGTTCAGGATCTCACTATTAGATCAGACTCGTAGTGATCCACCTGTTTACAGCCTTCCAAGAGATGGGATTATAGGTGTGTGCCACCAGGCCCAGTCTCAATTGCTGGGGGCGAGGCCGGCTCTGCAGGCCTGGGGATTGAACCCCTGGCCCCTGTGCCTGCTTGCAGGTGCTTTAACCCACCGAGCTATTTGGCTGGCCCCATACAAATATTTTTGCCAATTTAAAAAATTGGTTGTTTTATCTAATGATTGAGTGGTTAGAATTGTTTATTCTGAATACAAATTCTTGCCTACAGCCAGACCATCCTGAACACAGTTGATCATGTCTGAATACAAATTCTTTTTAAGGTATATGTATTACAAATATGTTCTCTTAGTCTGTGGCTTTTTCATTTTAATTCTGCTTTTAGGGACAGCTCTGTAATTTTGACAAAGTTCTATTAATTTTTTTCCTTTTATGGTTAGTACTTTGTGTGTGTCCTCTTTCCCCATCCATTGAATTGTCTAATGAAATAGATAATTTCACACAATTATGAAAATCAATTGACCACAAATCTATAGATCTGGATGATCTATTTATGTCATTGATCTGTATGGGTCCATCCTTATGCCACTGGATTAATTATTGTGGCTTCATGTTTCAAGATTAAGTATATAAATTTTGGAGTGTTTTCAAAGATTGTTTTGGCCTTTGGGTTCTTTTCCTTTATAAATTTCATATTGCATTAATTTTTTTTATTTTAAGAAAGGGTCTACAGGGTGTTCAGGGTCTCACTACTACATTGGAGTCTTTTTTTTTTTTTTTCCCCCCTTCGGAACTGGGGATTGAACTCAGGACCTTGAGCTTTCCAGGGAAGCACTTATTCTACTGAGCCATCTCCCCGGCCCTGCATTAATTTTTCTTTTTCAAAACCCTACTAGGATTGTAATGAGGACTGCCTTAAATTTATAGGTCATTTTGGAAAGAATTGGTAGATAATACTGAATGTTGGACATGGTATATTTCCCTTCTTATATTTTATTTTTTAAATTTTACTTCATTAGTACTCTACAATTTTATTAGTGAAGTACTCTTGTATATCTCTAAATGTATTCCTAAATGTTTTGTGGTTCTGCTACTGTGAATGCTTTTTTAAAATTTTTATCTTCAAATTTATTGCTGGAATAGAGAAGTGGCTGTTTATTTGTGTATGTTGAGTTTACCTCCTGCAATCTTACTAAATTCTGTAATTGTGTTATGTGTTCATAGTGTTGTAAATAGGATTCACTATGTATGCAGTCATGCTGTGTAAATAAAGACAGTTCTGCTTTTTCTTTTCCAGTATTTCCCTTTCATTTCTTCTTGCTTTATTGTACTGTCTAGGACCTTAAACATAATATTCAGTGGAAGTGGTATGAGTGCTTATTCAAGTTCTTATTCCCAACATTAAGGAACAACATCTAGGTTTTCATTGTTAAAATGTTAGCTGTAGGGAGATTTTTTTCAGAGATCCTTTTTTTAAAATCAGATTGAGGCTTTTATTTTTACTTTCTTGAAGTTATCATGAACACATACTGAGTTCTGTCAGATGCATTTTCCTGGTCCTATTTGTTTGTTTATTTTGTATTTAGGACAGGGTCTACAAGGTTTCACTACGTGGATCGGACTCATAGTGATGTTCCTGTTTACAGCCTCCCAAGTGCTGGGATTACAGGCACATGCCACCACGCCCAATCTTCCTGGTCCTAGTTAGATCTTAATTCCTCTATCATTTTTTTTTAATTTATTTATTTATTTTGTGCGTGTGTGGCCAGCTCAGCCCACCAGGGGGCGGGGCTGGCTGGCATGTGGTGCTGGGGGATTGAACCGCGGTCCCTGTG